AGCAACTGACTTTCAGCCTTAGCGTTAGGTGTGATAGGGAGTAATGGGGACTGCAACAACTACAGGCAATATCTTCTTGAGAAATATCCTGCCTTAGAAGTATTTGCTGGGACTTCCCTGGTGGTGCAATGGTTAAGACTTCACCTTCCAATGCAGGGAGTGCAGGTGCGATCCTTGATTGTGAAGTTAAGATCTTGAAAAGCCAAAATATAAAACAGAAGCAATAATGTATTCAATAAAGACTTTTTAAATGATCCACATCAAGAAAATCTTTCTTTTTTTTAAAGAAGTATATGGCAACCTATTCTACTTGATACAGGCTTCCCTTATAGCTCAACTGGTAAAGAATCTGCCTGCAATGCAGGAGACCCCTGTTCCATTCCTGGATTGGGAAGATCTGCTGAAGAAGGGATAGGCTACCCACTCCAGTATTTGTATTCTTGGGCTTCCCTTGTGGCTCAGCTGGTAGAGAATCCGCCTGCAGTGCTGGAGACCTGGGTTCGATCCCTGGGTTGGAAAGAGTGCCTGGAGAAGGGAAAGGCTAACCAATCCAGTATTCCAGCCTGGAGAATTCCATGGACTGTATAGTCCATGGGGTTGTAAAGAGCTGGACATAACTGAGCCACTTTCACTTTTCTACTTGAAAGCACTGTTGGGGTTAAACTAAGTTCACAAGAACTGAACCATCACTATTGAGTCTCTTCTGTCATTGATGATGAGAAACGCCAAGACAGGGATGACTTTTTTTCCTTCTTGGTAACCAGGGGAACAGTTGGCACAACGCCAAAGTAGACTTGCACAGAAAAACTGAATTCTTACCAATATTGTAGAGCCTGACAAGAATAAACATGGTCTTTTTTTTTTAGATATATAATCTGAGTCATATGGTAGTTTTAGTTTTTTGAGAAAACTCCATAGAGTCTTCCATAGTGGCTGTGCCAATGTACATTCCCACCAACAGTGTAGGAGGGCTTCCAGGTAGCTCAGTGGTTAAGAATCTTCATGCCAACGCAGGAGACTTGGGTTCTATCCCTGGGATGGGAAGAACCCCTGGAGGAGCAAATGGAAACCCATTCCACTACTCTTACCTGGAAAATCCCATGGACAGAGGAACCTGGTGGGCTGCAGTTTACGGGGTCGCAAAGATTTGGACAAGACTGAGCATACAGACACGCAGCAGTGTAGGAGGGTTTCCTTTCCACCACATCCTAGCCAACATTTGTTACTTGTGTTCTTTTTGATGAGAGCTGTTCTGATGAGTGTGAGGTGATATCTCATTATGGTTTTAGTTTGCATTCTCCTGAAGCTTAGTGATGTGGAGCATCTTTTCCTATGCGTGTTGGCCATCTGCATTTCCTCTTAGGAAAATTCAGCTCTTCTGCCCATTTTTTAAAATTAGGTGGTTTGTTTTCCTGATGTTGAGTTGTAGAAGCTGTTTATATATGTTGGATATTAACCCCTTGTGGGTCACATCATTTGCAAAAATCTTCTCCCATTCATTAGGTTGTGTTTTCATTTTGCTGAATGGTTTCCTTTGCTGTGCAAAAGCTTTTCAGTTTAACTAGGCCCCATGTATTTATTTTTTATTTTATTTTTGTTTTAGAAGAACAGATTCAAAAAAATATTGTTGTGATTTTTGTTGAAGAGTGTTCTGCCTATGCTTTCCTCTAGGACTTTTATGGTTTCTGATCTCAGATTTAGGTCTCTAATCCACTTTTTTTTTTTTTTGTATATAGTGTTAGAAAATGTTCTGATTTCTTTCTTTAACATGTAGCTGACAATTTCCCCAGAAACACTTATTGAAGAGACTATCTTTTCTCCATTGTATATTCTTACCTCCTTTGTCATTCATTAATTTACCATTAAGTGCACGGGTTTATTTCTGCCAAACCATTTTTCATGGTGACTGTATCATTTTGGATTCCCATCATCAATGCATTGGAATTCCAGTTGCTCCACACAAGATTTGTGCTTTTTATAAATTTTAAGCAAGAATTTCAAGTCTTTCTGAAGATGAGTTATGTTAAAAATTATATATATTATCCTGGAATTGTGTAATTTTTTCCCCAATGCAGGGTGGTTAAAACTAAGTGGCAGGCTGACTCCATTCCATTTTTCATTTCTTTTGAATTAATAGAGTATGTGTTATATGTACATATGTACATATATATAACATATATGAATTAATATGGATATGCTAGGAAATTGAAGGTATTTTGGTAAAAAATATGATTAAATTCTGTCTTACATGTGAATGATTAGTTTCTATATCATGTAAACACTTTGGTGAATAACTCAGTTTCCTAAATATGGAAAATAATCTATTCAGACAAGTCTTTAGAGGCTTATTAATATGAGTCTTTGGCTATATTAGAGCTAAAATTTCCAATGTAGTTGACAAAGCCACTCCATCTTTCTTTGGAGCATGCAACAGCCCATGAAAAGAACAACTTAAAAGGGCTGGATTACTTTATAAAACTTCCAAGCCAGTAATAGTTCTCATATAAGTAGAATTGGCCTCTGCAGATAGTGCAGGTCATTCAGACCCAACTGGAATTTTCAATTGCCTTTTAAGTCATTCAGTAAGGTGCTAATGAAACTTAGGAGGAAAATTTGGCTTCCCTAATGTCCAGAGTGGCAATACTGCCTTACATACAATAACATTAGTGTTTTAATATCCTTCCATTTATTCTGGGAAAAACACCAAGAGAGAAAGTGAATTTTCCAGAATAGAGACACTTGGGTTTGCTCTTTCTTGTGACTAGCTTCATAGGATGATTTGCAAAGCTTTTTGCAAGACTGAAATAAATACAGGACAGAAGTAGAATTGAACTTTAACATTCATAACTTTTTCTCAAGATATGATTTATTATCAAGTAGGCTTTTTTAATGTCTGCCTTAATTAAATATTCAAAAGAGGCTGAGACTGCAGTTATATATGCAAATTGACTTTTTTAGTATCTCAGGTTGAAATTATTGTTCATTCTTTTCAAGAATGCTACCATTTAGAGGTTAGGAAATTGAAGATATTTCGGTAAAAATTATGGTTAGCTTTTGTCTTAGAGCAAGACCCAACTGTCCTCTGCCATGGATTATTTCTGTGTCTTCCCATTGACAGTGCTAGTAGAAACAATATGAAAATGCTTATTGTGTAATATAAAGTAACCCCAATGCAAATACTCCTTGTATAGACAGCATCCACTCACAAATGCTGCTTACCTGGTGTGGACTGTAAATGAAAGAATTTGTAACTTTCACAAATGGCCAATTCTTGAATTTGTGACTATATAAAGACAACAAAAGGAATCCTTTGGGACCCTTGAGCCCACCCACCCACTCGAATGGAGCTATGTGTGGTTATATACCCATATAGTTAGCTTATAGATATTTATATGTACAGTTGTGCTTATCATAGACTTGAGATTCTATTATATCAATTTTCTATTCCTTCTGACAAATAAAGCAAGATGATCATGAGCAGTATAACCAAGTTAGTAATGCTTATTTTTAATTTATCCTAATTTTTCCTTTTTCTTAAATCTTCTGAGCCTCTTGTTACCATGTTCTCTGTTGTATTGCAGTGATATTGATCCAAGGAATGTATTAGTAATTAATTAATATATAGTTATTAATCAGTCCTTATACCTTTTTCTTATTGTTCACCCAACTGCTGTCTTTACTTTCTATAAAATAAGAGATATTTTATTACAGTGTGTTCTGTCAAATTCTGACTGCTGACTTTTTGTTTATTAGAATACATTTGCGTTCCTGTTTTCTCCCTCTGTAATGTTTCTTTTATTCATGCTGGTGGTGAAAAGAAGGGTGTATTTTATATTTGCAGTGATCCATTTTAAAACAGCAGGAGACTTCCTGTTATTCAGGCATTGTTAGGTAGACTGTATTTGCCCACTAGTTGAATGTATAAACCTTTTCCAAATTGATTCATTTTCTTAGTGACATATCAGGGAGAAAATTCTAGTAATTCTGAAGAAAATCTAGAAAGCTGGTAGAAGATGTCAAGAGGCTTAAGGTCAGTAATTTGACGTTTTAATCATCTTTTTTAGGGCATGAATAATGTATGAAACAACTTTTAATGGAGGATAGAACTTGAAGAACGAAAAAAAATTTCAATTTCTATATATAGCATGTGTGAGGAAAAATGAAACAGAAACATCTATTTCCATAGTGGAAAAACGGAATGTGTTTTTTTTTAGTTTGCTTACTGTTCTTCATTATATAGCAGAATTCCTATTAAGTGTGCAACATATTTGCATGAGTATTAAAATAATTCATCATGATTAATTCTGCTGTAGTAAATCTCAGCCCTAATTACAATCTGCCATATACTATCGTGATTTGTCAGTATTTCATATTTTACTGGAGTTGCAGTGGAATTGCAGCTCGTATAACAGCACTGATGTCATCTGAGTTCACTGTGATTAATGTGGTTCTGAAGGAGATCTAATAACGATTAGCCGGTTTCATAAAGTGTTACAGAATAAGGTCGATGTGAGAAAAATTTTAAAGCTCTTCACAATGTGCAGTCTAGCAAGTACCTCTGGCAACAAATTGGGTTTCTTGAAGGATGAAGAGATTTAACCTTGGAAACAGATGAGCTACTAGGGCAACGCTGGGCAGAGGTTCAGTAATTTGCCTTAAAGGCTCGGAGGAAAGCAAGACAAGTCTAGAATTAATGATGAAAAGTTATAAAGAAGTAGATATCAATCTGATACACTGAAATCTCAAAAAATCAAAAATTTCACCAGCAACAGAATGGGCTTCATGGATATAATGGCCCCAATAAGGTGTGGAGCTTCCTATGACTGGAAGTATTTGGTAGAGAGACAAGATGCCTGCTAATGGAGAGTTTTACAAAGTATGATTTTAATGGCTCAGAAGAGGAGATTGTCTTTTGGTAAATTCTGAATTCTTTTTCAACCATGTGCATCCGTAAATGAATTTTCTTCAGAATATCAACAATTTTTTTATATTGTTCTTAGATTTCGGTGGAGGCTTCAGTGGGAGATGGCTTTACTGGAGACATTGCAATTGATGATTTGTCATTTATGGACTGCACTCTCTACCCTGGTAAGGAATGCTATTTCAGTGTATGAGTGTTTTCAAGCCTGTTTACTTGAATAAAACTTCCAAGGAAATCAATATTTCATTTCCAGAAATATTCCAAAAGTACTCTCACTTCTCTCTATTCTATTAATATATTAACCATGGAAAAGGTTGCAAATCTTTGTAATTCATCAAACTATCAAACTCTTTGCAAACATAGTAAAGAGGTTTGAGTCAGTTGTATATATGTCCCATCACATTCAAAGTATTAGGAAAATGTGCCTGAAGTTAAACAGTAAGTCTATCATATTGGGGGGGGGCTGGTTATAATAACTGAACTGATTGCTTTGTAATTACATTATTTTGGAGACTTTAGTAACCATTCAGTTATCTTCAGTGACATCTTACTGTCAGGCTGCACTTTAAACATTGCTGAGGATTGCTGCCAGCCATTTCCTTTCCAAGTTATAGACTTCTTTCCATTAAAAAACTAATATATTTATTCCAGATTTATATCTTCATCCTCATACTTACCCCCAGAACTCTAGAAAGAAAGTGAAAGTCGCTTAATTGTGTCTCACTCTTAGAGACTCCATGGACTATACAGTCCATGGAATTCTCCAGGTCAGAATACTGGAGTGGGTAGCTCTTCCCTTCTCCAGGGGATCTTCCCAACCCAGAGATCTACCCTAGGTCTCCCACATTGCAGGTGGATTCTTTACCAGCTGAGCTGCCAGGGAAGCCCAATAATGGAACTCCAGACTTGGATACTAACCACCTATTCAATATCCAAACTTAGATGCAATGAGCATCTCAAAGATAACTAGGGGAAATAACCTAAAACAAACATGCCCCAAGGGAGACTCATTCCAGCAGTGCATAGTGATCAAGTAGGGTAGATATCAAGCTCTTGGAAGGTGATATTGGGATTGAGACTGTAGACTCTTTAATTGCATGACAAGAGGAAGCACAGTCTCCTCCTTAGAGTGATCAGAGGTTGGGTAGTTTAAAAATCAATTGCAGTAATCCATATGGAGAGCGCTTTCATATGCTGAAAACTTTACATGCAATGGTCCATCAGAGTACCTGCCCCTACCCAGACATAATCAGAGGGTTGGATTCCAATGCTTTCTGCTGTAGCTACATGTCCCAGCTCCAATTTTCCAGCTCATCATTCTGGCAGGGTAAATTATCATCCTCTGTGTAGCAGTTTCCATGGAGCTCTGCAGAGTCAAACCCCTCTCTGGAAAGCCAGCAAAGATGAAATCAGAATTCAACAAGTTTACTTTTATCCCTCAATGTGTAAAAGTAAATTCTTGATAACCCATTGTCCCCTCAATCCTATCATTTTCACCTGCCTTCTTGTCTCAGTGAATGACAATTTATCTCTGGTTGCTTATTCTTCATCAACAAATTTGATCAACCACTAGCTACATGTGTATCCATACTCCACTTCTCATTTCCCTTGCTTCTCTCCTCTCGGTCCAATTCACCAGTGTCTCTATATAGATTTTTGTGATTGCTTTTTAAATGATCTCTCTGCTTCTACCCTTGAACCATATAATCTCTTCTCGTAGCAGCAGCCAGAATGATCCTTTTCAAACTTACATAAGCTCTTGTCACCCTAACCTGAGCCTTGCTATGACATCCATCTCATTCCGAACAAAAGCCAAACTTCTTACAATAACATCCAAGGAATAAATGACTGACACTGTCGTATATGGCTCTGTCTTTACCTTCTAACACTGTGCTTTTTTTGAAAGCACCTTATTTTTTAAACTTTATTTGTTTAATTTTTGTCTGTGCTGGTTCTTCATTGCTGCACACGGTCTTTCTCTAGTTGTGGTGAATAGGGGCTACTCTCTAGTCGAGGTATGTAGGCTTCTCACTGCCGTGGCTTCTCTTGAGGGGCATGGGCTCTAGGTGCGCTGGCTTCATTAGCTGTGGCACATGGACTTAGTTGCCCCACAGCATGTAGGATCCTCCAGGACCAGGAATCAATCCTATGTCACCTGCATTGGCAGGCGATTTCATAACCATGTTATGAAATAACCATGAAATAACTGTTTCATAACCATAAGTCCTGACCAATGTGCTTCTATCTGACGTCCCTCAATAGCAAGACCTCTTAGCCAGTCCTTGGTTCCTCCAACCCCCTTACGCCTCAGGACTTTTATACCTGCTTTGACCTGTTCCTGGAATGTTCTTCCTCCAGATATCCATTTCACGTCCTTTTTTCTGATCTCTGCTGGAGAATTTCTTCTTTAGTAAAACCTTCTCTCAACCTATACCCCGCATCTCTCTCAAACATACACCCGTCTCTTCTTGTCTCTTTACCTGACATTTTCCGTCTCCTGTTTTTGTCCACAACACCTATCACCTTATAGTCAAATTTGATTTTCTCCCATAATGATGTTGCCTGGGAGCAGGGATTTTATTTGATCACTGCTGTACCTTGTAGTATAAACAGAACTTAGTAGTACTCAGTAAGCATCTACAGGATAGATGGCTGGAGAGATGTCTGTTTTTTTAAGTGCTTGTATATTTTAGTTTATTATTACTATTGCTAAAATATTAATTCTGTATGTAAGATACTATATGTCAGCCTCTTTTAAAAGCCAAATCTCAATGCTTATAGCCAGTAGCGTTTATTTCTTGCTCTTAAGTGTGTCCGTTGGCATAGAAAAATAACAGCAAGCATACACTCTTCTTGTTCATATCTCTGTATAGTTCTATGTTGTTTTAATTGTTTTAGTCACTGAGTTGTGTCTGACTCTTTTGTGACCCGATGGACTGTAGCGCACCAGGCTCCTCTGTCCTTGGGATTTCCCGGGCAAGAATACTGGAGTGTGTTGCCATTTCCTACTCCAGGGGATCTTCCTGACCTAAGGATCAAACCTGCATCTTCCTGCATTGGCAGGCGGATTCTTTATCACCAAGCTACCAGGGAAGCCCCATAATTCCATGTCGTTCCAAACTATATATCGGTTCTGTGTGTCCTGTCTATCTGGGACCCAGGCTGATGGACCAAATCCTTGTCTGACACATTCTGTTTTTAAGTCAGAGGGTTAGAAAGAGAAAGCACACTTAAGGCTTCTATTAGGGCCTTGTGTCTACTCGTTTCCACTGGTCAGAGCAAGTTAAGTGATCAAGCCTAACAATGGGGCACGGCAGTATTCGCTACAGTCAGGGAGCTTGGCAAGGGCGGAAAATACAGAAAGTCCTTAAAAGAAAAGGAGCTGATAAGTGGTCGTAATCCATAGTGGTCCAGTGGTTGGGCACCTGCCTTCCAGTGTAGGGCATGCAGGTTTGATCCCTGGTAGGGAACTGGGAGCCCTCATGCTGCCGTACAACTAGGCCATGCACCGCAACAACTCTGAGTCCGTCTGCCCTAGAGACCACGTGCCACAACTAGAGAGAAGTCCATGGGCCTCAGTGAAGATCCTGTGTGCTGCAACTAAGACCCAGCAGTGCCATAAGTAAATAAGTAAATAAATATTAAAAAAACACTTCTTTAAATATTGTCTGTCACTCTCCATATCATCTCATATAATCCTGTAACCTTTTAAAAATCTGGAATAGTGCTTGGTCCATCACAGGTTGAAGAGACCTTGAGTGATAAATAGATTGGATGTTTGTTATCCCAATTTTGTGGAGCAAATTGAGAAGGAGATAGCCAGTCTAAGGCTGCGTAGCTATCAAATGGCAGAGTGCAGTCTTCTTCTTTGGCTCAGAATGCTTACCACTATCATTATATTGCTCATCAAATGCATTAACCTCCCAAGGAAGAAAAAGTGATTTCCATTTTAGGGATATGAAAAACGAAACTTAAAGAGCATAGGTGACTGGGATGAGAAGACACTGCTGAAAGCTGTAGTGAGATTTTCACCTAAGGTGTCTGATTTCAGTAGTCAGATCACCTCCAACTCTTAGCTTGGGGAGGATGCCTGTAACCCCAGGGAATAAAGAATTCAGAAAGAGAACCAGGGCATCGTGGATACTGTTGCTGCTTTAATGATTCTGCTGCATGTATTCTGTGGCTGATGTTTCCAAGGTGGAGAGGAAAGAGCTGCCAGAAACAAGGGCAGAGATGTGAAATATCAGTTATACACCATTAGTTCCAATTTTCTGGTTTACATTTTGGAAGAAAAATATGGAATTTTAAAGACTGTCTGAACTGTGTGGTTTTCATGTTGGCTTCATAACAAAAGAAACTTTGGGTTGAAATTGCAGAATCTGATGAAGCCATGTCTCATAAAGGAAGTTGATGTAATCTTACTAGAAGATGAAAATGAAAATAAAAATTAGGCTTTTAATAAAAATATTGCTTTTGATGATTATCAGTCAGTGGTTTGTCATGACATCACATTAGCTGAGATGGGATCTGTGTTTGTAGGATCACTTACATACGTTGCTTTGCTTTCAATATAAACATCTATGGCATGCTCCCCCTCTTGATTGACAAAACAAAACAAATAAAAACTAAAAAAATAAAAATTAAAAAAAAACAGCACAAACTATTGACCTCATGTCCAAAATACAGTTTTGTAACCTGTAATTTTATTTTATACTAAAAATGACTAAAGTGAAGTAGATCATTTCATTTTTACCCATTTCCTCAAAATCAAACTCCACCATATCTCCCTTATTCCTTTTGGATGAACTCAGTTTTCTCTAGCAACCCAGGATTGAAATACCATAGTCATCTTTGGCTTTCCCCTTAAACTTGCCCACTTGCGGATCCTATTAACTCTCAACTCCAAAATATTTCTCACATCTGTTCTATTTTTTCCATTACCTCTGCCATGTCCTTGACTCAAATGATTGAGTTTCTTAACTGCAATCCTTTATTACTTTTCCTCAATAATTTTTATGCCATAAACTTAGTTTCTTTCCACTTAATCCTAGACGATTATTACTTGCTCTTTTAGGTCCTTCCTCTCTCATTTTCTAACTTCTAGTTGTTTCTGACAATTTTCAAATCCATTCTTAATTATGGATTGTACTGCCTTTGTTTCAGTACT